CCATAATCATCACAATGATGACAAATCACGACTTGAACTATCTTGTTTTGCATGTAATGAGTCTATCTCATATATTAGTTTCACCTTTTAAGTTGCGTTACTGAAATAAATGAACTTTTGCTCGATATTCTAATTTTTCGCGTTTCACCTGTATATGTCCATGCACACACAGACTGTAATCAACTTTTTTTTGGCAGGGGCATTTTTTGGCTGGAAAAAAACCCAGAACTAGTGGGTTTCTAGAGGAGTTTTAGCTGTAAAAACGCTCTAACGCTGAAAAATGCATCAAAACGCGGTAAATCACAACAAACTGGCTTTCTTGGACTTTTTTTGAGCAAAAAAATATTTTTTTTTGTAAAATAAAAAACACTAAAAACTGCAAATGCAGCAAAACGCTGAAAATCTAACGTTTTAATGTAACGTTACCAGCGTTCTTAAAACGCCCAGTGTGCATGGAACCTAAAAATGGGTGTAATTTGTTACTAAATATGAACTTGTGCTTTTAAGATTGCAGTAGTCACTGGGACAGGAAGGTGCAGGCAACGATAAAAACATTGTAAATGGTACTTACTGAATTATTTATTTGAGTTAATTTAAAGCAGAACTAAACTCCCTAATATGAAATCCTCCACCTTCCAGGATTGTGGTGGTCGCATCCCATGCCAGACACTCTTTTCTTCTCCCTGGATGTTAGGTTTAGGCCTCTTGATTGGCTGGGGATGGGATGACGTCATCGTACGAATAGAAGACAGTGATTCCAGCACAGCTGGAATGTGCTGGGAATGCATGCTGAGCTGCGCAGCTCATTGTACAAACTGTGAGCAGGCAGGTAAGTGTGAACTATTGTGGAAGAACCATTGCAGGTCTCTTTTGCAATAAAGAACTGCTTGCTCACAGTTTTTTTTTTTAGAATTTTTTAGTTACATTTTTGAAGATTTGGAGATTTAAAATGTTATTGAACCCACAATCGTAAAATCAGCCTGCATATGCAGTAAAGCATGCTTGTTATACTCACTGTGGAACCTAAGGGGTTAATCCTCCACATTGTATAAAAAGGCAGTTTTATCCTGTCTTCTCTGATCCTTCCCTTCTTCCACAGTCCCCAATCCATCTGCTGATAGCACAGAGCTCTAGGAGATTCTCTGCACATGCTCAGTTTTGCATAATTTACTAGAGAGATTTTTTGTTTTTAAATGAGGGTGCATGTAATCAGCACAGGGCCAATCAGTGCTGTCCAGACAAAGGGTCAGGGGCCATGCAGCCTCATAGGATAGTCAGAAGAGAATGAAAACTCCTACAAGATTAACCAGTGCTGAGCTGGACACTGATAGAGTCACAAGACTGCTATATACTGCTGAAATGTTATTTGCAGTTTTTACTTACTAAACTAATTGCATTTCCATGATCTGTGTACTGTGGGACACCAGATATAGTGAATGCAGGTTTATGGATTTACTAACACTTTAAGCTGGAAATACTTTGATAGATTTTAATTTGTATGAAAATTCTCATCAGTACATTCAAAGACATGACAAATGTGGCTTAAAATTACTTAAAAAAAAATTTGCTTTCAGCATTCGATTTTGGAGTGAATGCTGAACAAAAACCACATACACTGTTAGAAATTCGTCCATTTGAAAAAAATTATTCCATCCTGCTCCTTCCTTTTCTCACCACTGCAGTCAAAACTAACATCAATTTGACCTCATTAATGATTAAAAAAAATCAAATAAACGTTCATAAAATGAAAATTTGCAAACAAAATTCTACTAGTGTGTGGCCAGCTATAGAGGTTAAATGGCCATCTTCTGATCTGGTCAAACTAATATTTTTGATTGTTTAACCACATGCCGCCCAGCCACTGTAGAAATACGGTGGCAGGGCGGCACGGCTGAGCAAAAATACGGTTTAAAAAGTGTGTTTTTAAAACAGGTAGGGGGGCGCTCGCGAGGCGCGCCGCCGCCCTACCTGTCCCGCCGATCACGGCCGCAGATGTCAGTCGCCGGGTTACAGCCAGTCGTTACCGGCTATGTCCCGCCGATTAGCGGCAATCAGTGACAGAGAGCACAGCTGCAGTAGCTGTGCTTTCTGTCCGTTCCCTGACAGCTCCTGACACGCTGATCGGGACAGAAGAGTTTATCTGTCCCGATCAGTGGTGTTCCCTGCAGTACACACACCCGCCCCCTAGTAAAACACTCCCCTCACACAGTTAACTCTTTCACTGAATAATAGTTAACCCCTTCCTCCCCAGTGCCATTAGTACAGTGTCAGTGTTTTTGTTTTTTTTTTTGCACTGATCACTGTATTGGTGTTACTGGGGATGTCAGTGACCCCAAGTCAGCTCCCCCCCAGTGTCAGAATGTCCGCCGCAGTCCCACCATAAGTCGCTAATCACCGCCCATTTTTAGAATAAAAAAAAATTTAAAAATCCCAGTATCTTTCCCGCCATTTGTAAACGCTATAACTTTCACGTAAACCAATTAATTTACACGTATTGGGGGTTTTTTGTAGCAAAGACATGTCGCAGAATGCATTTTGGCAGAAATTTATGATGAAATTTGATTTTTACATTTTTTTTTACTGGACATATATATATATATATTTATAGCAAAAAGTCCAAAATATTGTTTTTTTTTCCTCAAAATTGTCATCCTTTTTTTTCTATAGCGCAAAAAATAAAAAACGCACAGGTGATCAAATACCACCGAAAGAAATCTCAATTTGTGGGAAAAAAAAGTATGTAAATTTCATTTATGTACTGTATTGCATGACCGCGCAATTGTCCGTTAAACTAGCGCAGTGCTGTATAGCAAACAAATGGCGTAAATTGCAGTATCTATACCATAGTTTGAAAGACGCTATAACTGTCACACAAAGCAATCAATATACACTTATTGGGATTTTTTTTACCAAAAACAAGGAGCAGAATACATTTTGGCCTAAATTTATAACTAATTTTGAGTTTACTATATATTTTTCATAGCTGAAAGTAAAAAATATAGTTTTTTCTCCAAAATTTTTTTTTGTTTATAGCGTGAAAAATAAAAAGCGCACAGATGATCAAATACCACCGAAAGAAAGCTCTATTTGTGTGAAAAAAAGGACGTACATTTCGTTTGGGTGCAGCATTGCATGACTGCGCAATTATCAGTTGAATTAGCGCAGCACTGAGTAGCAAAAAGAGGCGTGGTCATTAAGGGGGGTAAATCCTCAGGAGATCAAGCAGTTAATATTCATGGGGTACCAGCAGACAATGCTTGTGGACATTTGTCAGGAAAGTTATCTTGTAGGATGGAAAAGCCTATTTGCTGTTCTTTCCTCCTGATAACCTAGTTCTGGGAAGGTCTGCATTGTGTCTTCTCCTCCCTGCTCTGTCGGCTAACAACTTAGCCCCGGTTCACACTGGTGAGGCTTTGAAGGCACTTTACTGCAGCGTGATTTCAAAGACACCAATCAGTGCGACTTCATTTACACAGATGTCAATGCAAGCCACAAATTAAATCACACAAAAATAGTGCAGGAGCATTTATCTGAGTCGCACTGATATGAACGGTTTCATAGCGGCAAATAGGGTTCGACTTGTCATACTACTTTGATCTGTCAAGTCACATGACAAATTGCATCGGGCTGAACTGGGGCTTAAAGTGTCACTAAACCCACATAAAAAAAAAATAATCAAAAATACCCGTATTACATGCTGTTCATACTCCATTCACTATGGGATTCGTTTTCTGTTTTCTGTAAAATAAAAAACTTGGTTGATCCTTGTGTTTTCTATCTCCCCCTCTTGTCCACATCCCCACCGAAGTTAGAGATTTTGCAGAGCAGTTTAGACATACTACACATGCTCAATTTTTAGTATGTTTCTATGCTGAGCAATTCCTCCCTATCACATTTCAGCAGCCCAAGTGACTATAGAGTTACACATGTGGGTATATACATCGTGGTAAATGACAGCCCAGTCCTTCCCTCCTTCTCCATGCCCACTAACCAGCTATTCACAATAGGGGTGGGATGTTACATCTTGATTGATGGAGGCTTCACCTCCCTGTTTTTCTAAGACACATACAGGAGGAGTGTGATAGAAATTCGCCTACACTAAGTTATTGCCAAAAAATAATAAAGATTTAATTTCAAATATACATTTGTATGATGATTTAAAACTGTTTATTGATTATTTTTACTCTGTATCAAAGGCTGTTTTTTTTTTTCCTATTTTGTACTTGTGACTTGCAGCAGAGGACTAGCAGCTCCTCCTGCTCATGTTTCCCTGCAGACAGGCTGGGAAAGAGCTAGGTCACATGACCGCTAAATATCAATTGAGAAAAAAGTACTTTTGATGTTTTTTTTTTTTTTTTTTTTGTAATAATTACAGGACAATCCTCCACATACAGACATTTTACAGTGTGTGTTTAGTATCACTTTAAGACCCTGGGTCCTTTTTTTTTCCTTTTTTTTTTTTTTTTTCGTTTTAGTGTTTATAGACTACAATAATGTATTTTTGGGGGGAACAGATGGGGCATTGTTGATAATAATTTTGGATTTTATTGGAAATAAATTGTAAAAAGAAATGAAAAATGTGTTTTTTTCCTGTAATTTTTCCAAATGTAACATTTACATAATTTGCAGACACCCATATAATTTATTTATCCCAAAATGTAATCAACAAAGTCTGCTGGTGGAAATATCTCCTACAATTATGTAACATAGCGGAATGGTGAGTGCCTGTTCACATTTATGCAGATTGGATGTGGTTTGAACCGCATCCAATCCGCATGATATGCAAAATAACATTGTTTCCTATGGTGCCTGTTCCGGAGCACTGGCGGTGCAGATCCAGTGTGGTTTAAAAAAGAGTCATGTTTGATTCCTGAGCAGTGCAGTCTGGTTCAGGTGCGAATTACAGGCTATTGACTTCAATGGGAACCATTTCTAAACCTGACTTGTGAACAGGATAAAATCCTGAGCTGATCCTGTCCTGAACCTGATGTAAACCTGACCAGGGGCGGACTGACCATTTGGAAACTCGGGCACTGCCCGAGGGCCCGGGGTTAGTAGGTGGCCCCATGAGATGCCCCTGGTACCTTTTTCATAGGCTTTTTTGAGTTTGGGCAAGGACACAGGGGCCCCATATCCCCTATTGCCCGGGGGCCCCATGAGTTGTGAGTCTGCCCCTGAACCTGACCTCAACCTGTGAACAGGTTGAGGTCAATTAGCTGTGAAACCTGAGCTTCAATCTGCACCGTACATGTGTGAATCAGCACTAATGCTTAAAATGAACTTGAGTATTTTTACTTTAGGAGAGCTTGCACCACTGTGTAGTTAGCTTTTTAGCTGGGATTTTGACAGCTCTGAACATGGAAATGCTCAGAGCTGAGAGCTTCTGTGTTCAAAATCTCATCTTACACTCCCAATCCTGACATTTTTTGTGCTCCTGGGAACCATGAAGGAAGGGAGGGCGGGGCTGCAAATCATGTAAAAATGATCAGACCACTCTATATCTGCCCAGACCAAATTTGCGGTGAAGTCCTGCAGCTATGAGCTTGCTTTAACCGCTGCATACTCTGCCCCTACTAGTTTTGTCCAAAAACCTGAAGAGAGAGGTTAAACATGTATGCTTTTGAGTATCTCTCTTAAATGGTGGAGTGATGCGACTAGTAGTTTACACAATAAAGGTTAGGATCTTTGTGTTTTTCTTTAAGCTCACAATAATCGACAAGAACACTGCATTTCTGGCAAGTCATCAGGTATTTTTGTACTTGCTAAAAATGTTCTTCGCCTGAACAGTGAAAACCAATGCAGTCATCACATCTAAGGGCACATAAGCCATAATATATAATATTTTTATTTTTAGGTTTTGATACAATTTAGGCCTCATTCACTAGGGAGCGCTGATGAGTACACCCATGCAAAGGACTGTGTTTGCCTTTATGGGAGGCACAGGCAGTCTGTGCAGCCAGCCTGTTTAAATCAATGAAGGCTGACAGCTTCATGGATCTTCGTGAATCATCATGCGCAGCACTGATGCACGGCTCCAAATGCAATCTGACTGTGTTCTGAGGCGGGCATGGATGCACAAGCAGGGATGCTCCTGAAGATCTGTGCAACCATCTGCCTGTCATTTATTTAAAGAATAAGTTCACTTCAAAAAAAATGTGCATTTAATATATATTTTTTTTTTTTACAGGTATTTATTTATATATATATATTTATTTTTTATTTTTTGAAGCCTGGAAAGCGCTGCACCAGCGACCATCAGAGCACTGGTGTCATGCAGAACACCTGCAAATGGGTCAGTGTATCTGTGTTCCCATATGTCCCGTACAGGCAAGCAGATACAGTCTGTCAGGAAACTCAAATGAACTACCACAGCGCCCTGGTAGTTCATTGAGAACTACAAGCCGACAGCCACAAAGGATGTTGGGACTTGTAGTTCATTTATCCACAGAACTCTGTGAATAAATGACATGGCCATGTGGGTGGAGCTCTGCAAGGGCCTCGCTTTTTATAAAAAGTGACATCTGGTACGGGGAACTTCTCCTCTTGCTGCTGTCACATGGAGTGCGGGAATAGGAGAGCGGCTGCAGGATCGGGAACATCTTACATGTTCCACCCTAATAACGGGCTGAACACGTAACATGTTCCAAAAGGTGAACTTTTCCTTTAACCAGGCTGGCTGCATGGCCTTAAATGAAACCTGTAAGGATATATACCGTATTTTCCGGCGTATAAGACGACTTTTTACCCCTTGAAAATCTTCTCAAAAGTTGGGGGTCGTCTTATACGCCGGTAACGGCATGCTGACACTTTTTAGGGGGGGCGCGGTGCGGTGCCGCCGCCCCCCCCCCCTTCCAACAGAAGGGAAATTAAGTACAGGGGTGGGCAGGGGCTGCTGTCTCTTACCTGGCTCCGGTCCCACGACGATCCGGTCCAGGAAGCGCGGCTGCTCCTTCCTTCGGTTCGTCCACTGGATGTTCGCGCGGCTGCTCGGCTTCGCCTCCTCACCGGTGATTGGCCGCCAGAACTGTAGCTCAGGAAAGGCACACAGGCGGCCAATCACCGGCGAGGAGGCGGAGCTGAGCGGCCCCGCGAAAATCGAGTGGAGATGCAGGTAAGTGTGCCGTGCTTAGGTGCTGCTGCAACCACATATGCTGGCTGCAGCAGCACCGTACTGGAACAGGGGTCAGCAAGTGTCAGTGGGAGGAATAGTGCCCTATCGTTGGTGTCACTGATACCAATGATGGGGCATTATTCCTCCCACTGACACCAACGATGGGGCGCTTTTCCTCCCCCCCACTGACACCAACGATGGGACACTATTCCCCCCCCCCACTGACACCAACGATTGGGCACTATTCCTCCCCCCCCACTGACACCAACGATGGGGCACTATTCCCCCCCACTGACACCAATGATGGGATACTATTCCTCCCACTGACACCAAAGATGGGGCACTATTCCACTGACACCAATGATGGGGTGCTATTCCCCCCCAATGATACTAATGATGGGGCACTATTCCTGCCACTGATACCAATGATGGGGCACTATTCCTCCCACTGACACCAATGATGGGACACTATTCCTCCCACTGATACCAATGATGGGGCACTATTCCTCCCACTGATACCAATGATGGGGCACTATTCCTTCCACTGACACCAATGATGGGGCACTATTCCTCCCCCTGACACCAATGATGGGGCACTATTCCTCCCCCTGACACCAATGATGGGGCACTATTCCTGCCACTGATACTAATGATGGGGTGCTATTCCTCCCACTGATACCAATGATAGGGCACTATTCCTGCCACTGATACCATGATGGGGCACTATTCCTCCACACTGATACCAATGATACCAATGATAGGGCACTATTCGTCCCACTAATACCAATGATGGGGCACTATTCCTCCCACTGACACCAATGATGGGGCACTATTCCTCCCACTGATGGGGCACACCAATGATGATGGGGCACAATGCTTCCCACTGGTGTGCACTGGAAGAGGGGTAGTCTTATACGGCGAGTATAGCCCAAACACTACATTTTAAACAGGAAAAGTAGGGGGTCGTCTTATACGCCGGAAAATACGGTAGATATGTTAAATATCAATGCTGACTTGTTTTTAAAGGCATAGGCTCCAGGACTGACATCCTTCCTGGTTTAACCACTTGCCGCCCTGCCACTGTAGAAATACGGCGGCAGGGCGGCACGGGCAGGCAAAACCACGTTTTAAAACATGTGTTTTGTAAACAGGTAGGGGGCGCGTGAGGCACGCCGCCGCCCTGCTTGTCTCACCGATCACAGCCGCTGGGTCACAGCCGGTCCTTACCGGCTATGACCCGGCGATCAGCGGCAATCAGTGACAGAGAGCACAGCTGCAGTAGCTGTGCTATCTGTCACTTCCCTGACAGCTCGAGAACACGCTGACCGGCACAGAAGAGTTTCTCTCTCTGGATCAGCGGTGTTCCCTTCAGTACACCCCCCCCGCCCCCTAGTAAAACACTCCCCCTCACTCAGATAACCCTTCCCTGCAAAATAAAGTTAACCCCTTCCTCCCCAGTGTCTTTCCCGCCATTTGTAAAACGCTATAACTTTCACGTAAACCAATTAATTTACACGTATTGGGTTTTTTTTTTTAGCAAAGACGTCGCAGAATACATTTTGGCAGAAATTTATGACTAAATTTGATTTTTAAATTTTTTTTTTTACTGGACATGTTTTATAGCAAAAAGTCCAAAATATTGTTTTTTTTTTTTCCTCAAAATTGTCAGCCTTTTTTTTTATAGCGCAAAAAATAAAAACCGCACAGGCGTTCAAATACCACCGAAAGAAAGCTCAATTTGTGAGAAAAAAAGGATGTAAATTTCATGTATGTACCGTATTGCATGACCGCGCAATTGTCCGTTAAACTAGCGCAGCGCTGTATAGCAAACAAATGGCGTAAATTGCAGTATCTATACCATAGATTGTAGATGCTATAACTTTCACACAAAGCAATCAAAATACACTTATTGGGATTTTTTTTTACCAAAAACATGTAGCAGAATACATTTTGGCCTAAATTTATAACCAACTTTGAGTTTACTATATATTTTTTATAGCTGAAAGTAAAAAATATTGTTTTTCTTCAAAATTTTTGGCCTTTTTTTGTTTATAGCGTGAAAAATAAAAAGCGCACAGAGTGATCAAATACCACCGAAAGAAAGCTCTATTTGTGTGAAAAAAAGGACGGAAATTTCGTTTGGGTGCAGCATTGCATGACCGCGCAATTATCAGTTGAATTAGTGCAGCGTCGAGTAGCAAAAAGAGGCGTGGTCATTAAGGGGGGTAAATCCTCAGGAGATCAAGTGGTTAAAGTATAACTTTTGCCTCTGTATACGAGAGGTCTCTCTTTTCATGTCCTGTCCCATAGCCAAAACAAAAAATGAGAGGAAATCCCTCCAAAGTGACGGAATCCTTGGTTGTCACCAGACCTAGTCCCCATTGCAAGATTTCCCCTCTGTTCTTGTTCTGGTGACTACAAATTTGGGATTTTCTTTCACTTTCAGTGGTAAGGGTAAAAAGGACAAATATGAGAGGGTGAGTCTCCCTACGTCTAGGTTCACACCTATGCAAGTTGTGTTTGGTGCGTTTCTGCATTGTGTTTTGCGTTTTTTTTTTTTAATTGTTTTTTAATTTTTCTTGTTTGCTAGGCAGATTTTAAACGCAAAATGCAGCAAAAACACAATACATGCTTTTCTGCAGCGTTCCTATTGAAGTCTTTAGAACAAAAAACGCAACATTTTGTGTTTAAAAAAAAAAAAAGTCACTGACGCTTTCCAAAAAACGCAGAGATGTGAACTTGTCCCATAGGAAATCATGGACTGTACTGCATTTCTGCAAAACACTGCAGAAAACGCTTAGGTGTGAACCTAGGGTAAGAGAGTACAGACCGCAATAAAAACTGACAGGTGTTCTAATCCCTCTCCACTCTGTACAATTCCAAAAATAGTTTTGTCTTCATTTATAATCTGAGATAGGAAATTGTAACTAAAACTTGTGATAATGTGCAGGATAGTGCATTTACACTGTATTGAGCGGTGTTGTCCAGTTTTTAAAGTGCGAGGACAAATGTTTTTTTTTGACTGTGCTTTCATCTGCTACTTTCTGTACTTTTCAATATTTCTGATAATCAAAATATTTTAGCAGGGGGTGCTCTCAGTGGTTCTTAAATCTCTTTTCTGCCTTACAGTATCACTTTTTTGTCATACCCACTAAAATACAAAAACATGATGTTTGTTCTTTTGTCCATGGTTGGCCACTTTTCCTACTCTTTCTTCCGTCATGGTCCTTAACCACCTCCCGCACGCCATATAGTAATATGACGGACGCAAGATGGTTCTTTCGTTCTGATATGACGTCCTGCCATTCTCACCGCGCATGCACAGCTCAGGGAGTGTGCAGCACGGCGATCGGCTGTGCGCTGTGTCCCTGGGACACAGCGGATCACTGATCATGGAAAGAGCCGGCGATGTCGGCTCGGTCATGTGATCAGCTGTGTCCAATCACAGCTGATCACATGTAAACACGGAAATGCCGGTTATCGCATTTCTCTCCTCTGGAGCTGTCACGCTGACAGCTCGAGAGGAGAGGAGAGACGGTAATCGGCTTTCTGTGGAGGGGACATGTACACTGATCATCAGGGCACTGATCAGTGTGTCCTGATGATCAGTGTAGCCCCAGCAGCGCCACCTGTCAGTGGTCATCAGTGCCTCGTGCCAGTGCCATATCAGTGCCTACCAGTGCATCAATCCACATATCAGTGCCCATCTGAGCTGCCTTTCAGTGTCACTGATCAGTGCCAGTCAGTGCCACCTATCAATGCCAATCAGTGCCGCCTAACAGTGCCAGTCAGTGCCGCCTAACAGTGCCAGTCAGTGCCGCCTAACAGTGCCAGTCAGTGCCATATATCAGTGCCATGTATCAGTGTTGCCTGTCAGTGCCTCCTCATCAGTGCCCATCAGTGCCACCTATCAGTGTCCATCAGTGCCCATCACTGCAGCCTCATTAGCGCACATCAGTGAAGGATAAAAATCACTTATTTACACAATTTTAGAACAAAAACTAAGAAAAAAAACTTTTTTTTTTTTGCAAAATTTTCAGTGGTTTTTGGTTTGTTTAAGAAAAAAAAACCCAGAGGTGATTAAATACCACCAAAATAAAGCTCTATCTGTCACAAAAAAATGATAAAAATTTCATATGGGTACAATTTTGCATGACCGCGCAATTGTCATTCAAAGTGCGACAGCGCTGAAAGCTGGAAATTGGCCTGGGCAGGAAGGGGGTATAAGTGCCCTGTAGGCGAGGGGTTAAGCAGTTCCCAACCGAACTATGGATAAAAGACATCTACAGCGCGATTGACTAGTTCTGGGAGGGCATCCATTGATGTCCTCCCAGAACTACGCACCCCTTGGGGCGCGCACCATGCTTGAGCTATGATCTCTGTGTCCTTTGGACACAGCTGATCATGTGTACAGGTAAAGGGCCAATCAAAGCCACCTTTCACCATGTGATCAGCTGTGCCCAATCACAGCGTAAATAGGAAATGCCGGTTATCGGTAGTCTTCTCACGCTGATGCTGGGAGGAGAGCCAGTAAGCAGCATTTCTCAGAGTGGACTTCTACACTGATCAGCAGTGTAGCCCTATCAGTGCACATCAGTGTGGTTAATAGTTCCCATCAGTGCTGCCTATCAATGTCCATCAACGCCCATCAGTGCTGCATATCGGTGCAGACTCTCAGTGCCCATCAACGCTGCATATCGGTGCAGCCTCATCAGTGCCCAGCAGTGCAGACTCTCAGTGCCCATCAACGCTGCATATTGGTGCAGCCTCATCAGTGCCCAGCAGTGCAGACTCTCAGTGCCCATCAACGCTGCATATTGGTGCAGCCTCATCAGTGCCCAGCAGTGTAGACTCTCAGTGCCCATCAACGCCCATCAGTGCTGCATATCGGTGCAGCCTCATCAGTGCCCAGCAGTGCAGACTCTTAGTGCCCATCAGCGCACATCAGTGGAGAAAAATCCCTTTTTTACAAAACGTTATAGCAGAAACTAAGAAAAACGTTTTTTTTTTTTTTTTTTGTTCAAAATTTTTTCGTCTTTTTTCATTTGTTTAGCAAAAAAATAAAAACCCCAGTGGTGATTAAATACCACCAAAAGAAGCTCTGTCTGTCTCAAAAATGATAGTAAATATAGTTTGGGCAGTGTTGCATGACTGTACAATTGTCATTCAGTTGCACAGCTTTCCTGCAAAAACATATGCATTTATTATTTTATAAAGGTGAACTTTAGCCTTTTGATAGCTCTTGGACTATCTCCAGTTTCCCTGCTTAGGAACTTGGCAGACCAGATCACATAATGTTCCTAAGTAAAATATTGCTTGATTGCACAGTAATGTCTACCATTGTGTTACTTCACTCAGATGCCGAAAACCATTTAGCCTAAATTAACCCATTTTGTTTGTGGATAGGCATTTTTTTTTTAGATCAGATGAGATTTATCCTCCACATATGAAAAGGCTTCTTTACAATAAGAGCTGTAAAAATGTGGAACTAGTTTTGGCCAGTTCAGTAGATTGTTTTAAAAAAAGGGCTGGATTCATTCAAAATGTATAGGTAATAGCACCACAGAATGTTTTTGATCCAGGGAATATCTGAATTCCTTCTGGGGGATCATGAAGGAATTTGATTTTCCTTGCTGGAGCAAATTGGACCATGCTTTATAGGGTTTGTTGCCTTTCTCTGGATCAGCTGTGGGTATAGGATTCTGTATATGGTGGTTTTATATTTATTTATTTGATTTTTTCCCCTAATGGTTCAATTTGATGAACTTCTATATTTTTCTATCTAACTATGTAACTGTGAGTCAGAGAAGACCAGGTAAGTATACCAGTGGAGGTGAGAGAGATTGCAGTCGTTACATTGCTGGAAGGGGGCATTTTGTAATGCAGGCCATAGACGGGTCAAAAACTGTCCGTTTTTTAAAAAAAAAAAAAAAGAAAAATCGGTCGTTCAATAGGCCGACGTTACCACCAACGGTAAAAAAAAAATCGGCCGATGTTTGTCCCGTCTACGGCCAGCATTTAATTACTTCTGTCCCTTGCAGAGAGCTCCGCTATTATATTTGACATGAAAAAGTCTTGTGGTTGCAACAATGTATCTATTTGTATCCATTTCAGATAAAGATGTTTTTATTTGGATACAAATACAGGGGGTATCGAAAGTTTGGGCACTCCAGCTAAAAATTTGTATTAATGTGCATAAAGAAGCCAAGGAAAGATGGAAAAATCTCCAAAAGGCATCAAATTACAGATTAGACATTCTTATAATATGTCAACAAAAGTTAGATTTTATTTCCATCATTTACACTTTCAAAATAACAGAAAACAAAAAAATGGCGTTTGCAAAAGTTTGGGCACCCTGCAGAGTTAATATCTTGTACTGCCCACTTTGCAAAGCTGAGACCTGCCAGTGTCATGGATTGTTCTCAATTGTTCTCAAGAAGGCTATAAGAAGATAGCAAAGCGTTTTCAGATGTCAATATCCTCTGTTCGGAATGTAATTAAGAAATGGCAGTCATCAGGAACAGTGGAAGTTAAAGCAAGATCTGGAAGACCAAGAAAAATATCAGACAGAACAGCTCGCAGGATTGTGAGAAAAACAATTCAAAACCCACGTTTGACTGCACGATCCCTCCAGAAAGATCTGGCAGACCCTGGAGTTGTGGTACACTATTCCACTATAAAGAGATACTTGTACAAATATGATCTTCATGGAAGAGTCCTCAGAAGAAAACCTCTTCTACGTCCTCGCCACAAAAATCATCGTTTGAACTTTGCAAATGAACATATAGACAAGCCTGATGCATTTTGGAAACAAGTTCTGTGGACCGATGAGGTTAAAATTGAACTTTTTGGCCGGAATGAGCAAAGGTACGTTTGGAGAAGAAGCGGCACAGAATTTAATGAAAAGAACCTCTGTCCAACTGTTAAGCATGGGGTTGGATCAATCATGCTTTGGGGTTGTGTTGCAGCCAGTGGCACAGGGAACATCTCACGAGTAGAAGGAAAAATGGATTCAATAAAATTTCAGCAAATTTTGGATGGTAACTTGATGCCATCTGTGAAAAAGCTGAAGTTAAAGAGAGGATGGCTTCTACAAATGGATAATGATCCTAAACACACCTGGAAATCCACGGGGGATTACATCAAGAGGCATAAACTGAAGGTTTTGCCATGGCCTTCACAATCTCCTGACCTCAACATAATTGAAAATCTATGGATAGACCTTAAAAGAGCAGTGCGTGACAGACAGCTCAGAAATCTCAAAGAACTGGAAGACTTTTGTAAGGAAGAATGGGCAAAGATACCTCAAACAAGAATGGAAAGACTCTTGGCTGGCTACAAAAAGCGTTTACAAGCTGTGATACTTGCCAAAGGGGGCAGTACAAGATATTAACTCTGCAGGGTGCCCAAACTTTTGCAGACGCCATTTTTTTGTTTTCTGTTATTTTGAAAGTGTAAATGATGGAAATAAAATCTAACTTTTGTTGACATATTATAAGAATGTCTAATCTGTAATTTGATGCCTTTTGGAGATTTTTCCATCTTTCCTTGGCTTCTTTATGCACATTAATACAAATTTTTAGCTGGGGTGCCCAAACTTTCGATCCCCACTATAGATACATTGTTGAAACCGCAAGACTTTTTCATGTCAAATATAACAGTGGACTGGAATTCTTCTTCTTCCTTCTTTCTTCTTCTTCTTTCTTTTTTCTTCTTTCATCTTCTTCTGTCTTCTTCTGTCGTCGTCTTCTTCTTCTGTCTTCTTCTTCCAAAACCCTGAAAAACGGCCGACCAATTTAACCCATTAACGGAGCAAAAATCGGCCACTTTTCACCCCGCCTATGTCCTGCATAAGTATGCTGTTATCTGCAAATATGCAAGCCGTGCTTGCACACCTTGGCAAAAGCTCGCCCACCACAATGCAGAGTTTACTTCTGTGTGAAGAAGAAAAATAGTTTAATGTAAGTATAGTTGGCCAATGTTCTATATTTAACATATAAACGCAAAGCTTTCACTTTTATTTTCTTCTCTGCTTTTATTGTACTAGAGTTCTCCAAAGTGCACCTATAATTGCTCTCTGGATCAAGTTCAACATTGAATGAAAGGACAAAAACACTGTGTTCAGTGTGTCGGTTACATAATTCCTTTTATCTGTTGAGTCCTAATATGTGTAAAAATAGTGAATAAATATTGACAGCAGAAAGTACACACCCATGAGGCACGCTATTACTGTTGACTGTAGGGGGTTTTTCTTGTTAATGGAAATTTATTTTCATTGTAAAGCTAAACTCCAGGCAGGTATAAAAGACCCAACTGAATGTATTCATTAATACATCATTAAATGTACTTTAAAAAAAAAAAAAGGGAAGCAATGCGAGTAAATGAATTCTGTCTAGCATCGCTGTCTTGCAATCCACTCTACAACAGAGCTCAGACTGTGAGAATGTAAAGCAGCATAAGCCAGTTGTGTTGAAAGAGATGCAAAGTGACAGAGAGATGAGCTTATCAGTTTGCTGCTCTTCCTTTCAAAGTCCATTCACAGGCTTGGTTGGTGATAAGACCTGTATGCCTTACTTAACTGCAGTAGAAAAAAAAATCAGGTCATCTTGACTGCCAGGCTGGATCACAGGACTGGAACGGCAGAAATACAAATCTTTTGCTAGCTAGAACAACTTCTATATATTTTTTAAAGTGTATGTTACCCTAAAAACAATTTTCTATGTGTAATTTATAGTCTCTGTCATTTTCATGTACTTTTTTCCATCTGAAGTATGTGATTGTTCCTGCCAACCACATTTCTTCCTTGTTCTAAACTGACCACACAAAGTACAGAAGCTGAT